CTATATCTCGCCTTGACGTGTTCTTTTAGTGCCATTATCTGACCATTCATTTCTCCAGGGTTGTGGATGTCATCAATCAGCTTTACGCATACTATCCTCCTCATGATCTTCCTGTCATCTTCTGGCACCAGATTTGTTCTGACCTTTGAATTGCACGATAGCTCCCTAAATGGTTTCCTCGACACTGCAATTTCCTCAAGTTCTTCACCTCCTCGCACTTCCTGCTGATCCAAGTTGTACGTTCCTGAGGAGGGATCCGTCTGTAGCTCCCTGTCGCGGTGTCTCATCTTATCTTCTGCCAGTATCATGCATAGACTATCTTGGTCACCGCTGCTCTTCTCCGAATCTTCATCCCATTCTTCACACTCCCCGGACAATTTTCATTCTTCAGCATCTTTTCCACTGTGGGCCACTCCCCGGACAATTGCTCTAATCCAAGGCGTTCAGCCTCCTCCTTAAATGCCACTTTATTCTTCCTAACCCGAGTCCGCTCAAGTATGTCATCAGGGATTTTATCAACCAATGACTGCACAACTTCTTTCCCGTCCAATGTTTCTTTTAAGGAGTCCTCGCCACCACCAGTTTCATTCCTTCTCAATATCGTGACTTCCGGTTCCTCCTTACCCTTTTCCTTGATCACGGTTTTATCGTCTGCCAGTTTCTCGAATAATCTAATCAAGTCATCATTTATCTTTGCATCTCCCGCTTCTGCCTGGTTGAGATCATAGCCTTTTGCCTTGAGCGTCTCCCTCACAATTTTTGATTTGAGCATTATCCCTATCGGCATCCCTCGAGTCTTCTTCAAGATTGTTTTCTCTGGAGGCTCCTTTGGCTCCATTGGAAATTCGGGGTGATCTTCTATCGGTTTGCCTGACTTGTCAAGCCATCTCGTGAGTGGAAGACTATCATACGTTTCCTTATCGATGAAGGAGAAGCCATCTTTGATTTCTGATCTATCCGCCTCCCTCTGTTCCTGTCTCTCATAGAACTCCGTCTTCTTACTCAAGCTATCGGCATTTTGATGTTTGTCTCTTGTTCTATGCTCAATTATCATGTTGTATCCGTCCAGGCGAACTATTCACCTCCCAATGTAGCTCTGGTCCATTGAGTACGTCTTCAGCCAGCTGAGTGCCCTGTTGTCGACTCGCAGCTTGAATGGCTCACTGCCTAGGTAAGCTCTATATTTCTCGACAAAGGTAACCACCGCGAACATCTCTGCTTTCGGCGCCCCGTACTTCATTTCCGTATCACTCAAGACTTTACTCACGTACACTATTGGTCTTAAGATTGTCTTACCGTTCCATTCCTGTTCTTGATGGAGAATGTCAGAAATCGCGACTACCGACGCATCCGTGTCCAGCACGTACATCACCTTTTCCGTTGGCATCCCTAGCACCCGTGCCTCGCACAACTCTTTCTTTCTTCTCTGGAATGACTCTTCCGCCGCGTTGTTCCACGTGAACTTTTTGCCTTTGTGCCTCATTAGTTGTTGCATCGGGTATACCTTGTCCGCGTAGCCCTTGATGAACTCCCTGTAATAGTTTGCGAAGCCAACGAAGCTCATCAATTGATGTTCCGTCTTTGGCGATTTCCAAGTCAGAACATGCATCTGGGTCTGGTCTGATGCCACGCCCTGTCCACCATCTTTTCCAAGTAATTGATTGAGTCCTTGAGTATCTCGCACTTTGACGGTTTGCACTTTAGTCCTGACCTCTTCATGCCTGCAAACACCTCGTCGAGTCGCTTGATGTGGTCTTCCATTGTATGCATCGCTATTACCACGTCATCCACGTAGCACATTACCAAATTGCCGTATTTCTTTGTCACACCTATAAATGCGTGTGCCATCAACCGTTGAAATGTGGCCGTGGCATTGCATAGACCAAATGGCATCCGTTTCCATTGAAACAGCCTTAGCTCGCAGGCGAACCCTGTTTTGTCCCTGTCCTGCTCCCTCAGTGGGACTTGCCAAAATGCCGAACCTAAATCAAGAGTCGTAAAAACTTTGCATCACCTAATTTCGAGAGGATCTCATCAATTCTAGGTATGGGATAGGCATCCTTCACCGTGACAGAGTTCAGATATCGAAAATTGCAACAAAACCTCACGGCTTCTTGGTCGCCTTTCTTCTTAGCCATCACCACGCTACACGCCCACGGTGATTTGGATGGTTCTATCATTTCATACTCTAGTAATGTCTCTATTTCTTTCCTACATGCATCCGATTTGTGTGGGGTCATGCGCCTCGCCCCCTCCCTGTGCGGTACCGCAGACTCCTCAAGCTCTTTTTCATGTTCAACAAAATTACAACATCCAATGTCTGCCTTATGTCTCAAAAAAACGTCCTCATTTCCGCTCTAGTACGTCCATGATGGCCTCGAGCTGTTCATTCGTTACCTTGCCCCTTAAGTGCTCTATTTCAGGTAAAACTGGTTTATCCATTTCCATATCCTCTAGTGTTGGTCTTTCTGGGAAATTTGAACAACTCGAGAGTCCATCATCAGTCTCTGACTTAAGTGACTTCACAAGAACTGATGAATCTTTTATTCTTTTTAATCGTCTCAAGATACAAATCTTGTCCCTATGATTGGGGCATTCAAGTACTTCATTCTCTTTTACATTTTCAGTCATTTCATATCGAGTTTTCACGGGTAAAGCATATCCCAGCGTCCTTCCCCTCTGGATTGTTATGGGTATGTCAAGACTATTCAACAAGACACTGACGCAGAGGCCGCTCTTGGTTATCGAGAAGGATATTCCTAAAACAGCAGCACTTTGACAGTTTGGATTTGGGACTATGCATACTTGCTTGTTATCACTTAATTCATTGTAATTTCTCATCCGTAAGCGTACAATTGTCATCCGCTTCGTTCGCTTCCAGCCTTACCCTCCTATTCAAGAATACCGGCGCTTTTTTCTCATTTGCCATTATCAGATTTACCGGTTTAATTACGTACTTCCTATCCGGGTTCCGAATCCTGAACATGGCATTGTTTAGATCAATCGTTACGTCGAAATTCCTGATGAAGTCTCTGTCTAAAATGAACTGGTCCAACTCATCCAGGTTCTCCACCACAAGAAAGCTCATCCACAGGTTGCGTTCCCCTAGATTTAGGGCTCATTATTGTTGTTCTGCCTAGTACCCGCAGCGCCCCCTTGTTTGCAGCTGACAGCCGTATTCTTGAGTCTATCAAGTCATCTTTGTCGAAACCCAGTCGCTCCCAAGTCTCGATTGGTATAACACTCAAGACTGCTCCCGTATCAAGTAACCCACGTAACTGAGTCTTTTTGCCACTTATGTCGAGCACATGTGCTGATACGTCTGCCTCCGTCCCGATGTGCATGGTATCCTCTTCTAACATTGCGCAGTGTCCAATCGATCTTACTTTCGATTCTTCTTTGCCCACGTAGATTTGTCCGGCTAGGTCCTCATCAAATGTTATCAGGGTTTTCGTGTAGATGTTTATCCCATCTATATTTAACATCACCTCATGCGGACCATAAGCTTCTGTGTATCTATTCTCCACACGGACTGACTTGCTGCCACCTCTTGTGAGTAGCGCCCTCAAGGCTCTAGAAGTCGTCTGTGGACTTATTGCACTCAAGATATCTGCGTACACATCAATGTGCATTATTGTCTGGTCGCAGGGTTCACTCAAGTTCCTCGTTACTTCGTGGCCGCCCACAGTGATTATCGACATTATCCTGGATCCGATCTTTGTTATGCCGAATGGCTTTCCCGTCACCATTTTTAGAGTGTTGCAATTTCCACTCTTTGTCGCTCCTACTACGGCTTCTGGCACTGGCACTGGCACTGACCAACTTAACGTCTCGTTTAACTTCTGCTTTTTGATCTCTTGTTTCAATCGTTGCTCTATCTCCTTCATCGCTAGGTCCTGTTTCACCTTGTTAATAGCCTCTGCAGCTGCTCTCTGAAAATTTATCTCTGGATACTTCCTGGTCATGGTCTCCATGGAATTATTGACCTGAGTTACAGTTTTCACCGTCTTCGTCGATAGTTCCGCATTCGGTGCCTCTGAATTTCTTGTATCAAACTCGGCTTGTCTGTTCCTCGTGTTCTGCACCGCCTCTGACGCTAACTTGTGTTTCGGATGACTTTGATTTTTTACTGCTTCCCAAAATAATGGACAGTCGATCCTAAAGTGGCCCTCTTGATTGCAGAAGAAGCATCTCGCACCTATCTTGATGATTAGGCCGCTGTAGAACTCGTGCTCTTCCATCTGGCTCATATCTTCCTCATCCGGAGCATACCCCAGACTCTTCATGCCTTGTTTATACGCCGTGCAGTCCGCCACATGATGATCCGCTGATCCACAATTTGCGCATGACCTGCGTTTGTCCAAATCATCTCTAGGCTTATACCATGACGACCTCTGTGGTTGACCCCCTTGCACGTTCCTGTTATCCGAGTATGAGTATTTCTTGGGTTTCATCAGCATGTACTCTCTTGACTTCTGTCTCATTTCTTCTGGAGTCGGTCCACTATCTGTCTCTTTTTACCCCATCGATGAACTTCGAGGTGATGCTAAAAATCCTTCTGTTTGTTGACTCTTTAGGATCACTCCTTCGTCTCAAGCTCTCAAGATCATCCAGGAACCGATCAATTGATTCATCGTCCTTTTGCCTTCTCTTTTCAAATCTCATCATTGCATGGTGACCCTTCATGCCTGACCCGAATCGATTCAACAATATCTCGAATATCTTTTCCGTAGTGTCGCGTTCCTCTTCCTTCTTTGCAACTACGCATTTCAACGTCGTGCCATCTAAGTTGCTGAGTATCGCTCTGCAGGCTTGTCTCTCGTCATTCATGTTGTCCTGTTCCAAATGTAATCTCATGACTTCTACCCAAGCATTGATGCATCCGTCTGAGTCATTCTTAAATTCTTTTGGCTTCTTGAAGGTTTTCCTGGATTTGCCACCTCCTCTCTCACTCGAATCAGTGTTTCTCGTACTTCTTCTTCTTCTTCGCCAGTTACGCTCTATGTAGAGCCTTGGCGGGTATTTCCCGTGCATGACACATTTTTGTGTCTCGCTAAGTTTGACTTCGTTATCCATGCCCCGCATTTGTTGCATTGTTTGTATTCTCTGGTTCGTATTATTGTCGTCGCGTTATTTCTGTTTATCGGTGCGTTTCGGCAGTTGGTTTTGCTGTGTCTAGCCATGTTTGATACAGACACACTCTTTCCACAGTCCAAACATACTCCTCTGGGGGCTCCGCCGCAGGCTTTTGTGTGGTTTGTCTGACTGCTCTTTTCCTTGAAGGTTGTCTTGCACTTAGGGCAGGCAAACTCGAGCGTGGTTTCTCTGTGCATTCTGCGCTCGTGTTGCACAAGCCCTGCCTTGCTTCTGCAAATTTTGTCGCAACCGGTCCACCTGCAACTGAAGCCGTCCTCCACTACTCTGGTTTGGCTTCTCGTGCGCTTTGTGTGGCCTCTGGTGTGGTCGCACATGTCTGTCTCCCACCGTGTCAGATTAGCTTTCCGGTTGTTTATGAGTGTCTTCCACGTTTTCCTGTTTTTTGTCAGGTTTTCGATGTTGGTCCAGTCCTCTCCTGCTTCTCCAATCAGCCGTTTCCAGTATGCGAGTAGTCCTCCGGTCAGTTTTCCATTCTCGGTTTTCTCCTCAAGCCATCTCCCCAAAACAACTTTCTTCGTCATCCTTTCGTTTGGCATACGGAGAACATGTCCAATGCGCTCCAGAGCTCTTATCTCCACTTTGGAACTGATCGATGTAATTCCAAGCTGTCTCCTGACCTCGTAGCCGTTGACGCCCTCTTATTGCATACGAACGAGCGGCAGTCCCTTTCCGTTGTTCCATATGTATCTGCAGAACCTGTCTACCACGCTCTGGAATCTGTTGAGGTCTCCAACAGTCCACGGTCTAGCGTTGCAGTCGAAAAGAAGGGACGACTTTACGACCGCTTGTACGACGAGAGCTCTTGTTCTCTTGCTCAGCTTCGACTTCAATAGCCATTTCTTCACCTTGGCCCAGGCACCATTAGCACGTCTGATTCTGGCTTCGCGGTCCTTCTTCTTTCCTATCAAGGTACCCAGCATCCTGGTGTTCTCTGCCGTCTCGCTTGCATACCAGATGGTTTCCTCCTTTCCATCGTGGGACTTCTCCTCGAACTTCATCATCTCCTTCTTTATAGTCTCCTTTCCATCTTTCAGTTCTTCGCTCCAACCAATCAATGTCCAGTCGTCTGCAAATAGGGAATCAGTGATGGTGAATTTTTCGCACGCGCTTCTTCTCGTCATTCTCGTTGCTTTGTTAGCTGGGAAGCTACTACCCGGTTTCCAGCCCCAGTCTAGTCCGCAGCGTTTGTTTGCGTCTTTGGCCTGTTTTTCCCTCTCCTCCGCTGCTTTTCTCATTGACTGTGCATGGTAGATGTTGAACAGGATGGGGGACGTTGCGCACCCTTCTCTTAGACCACGCGCCGGCAGCCACTCGTCGCTCAGGCCCTCGCGTCCCTTAGCCCTGTAGCGGATCCTCTCGTGCGTTCGCTGCTTCCTCGTCTGTCCTCTTTGTCTTACTTGCCGCCGTTTCCATGATCTCGGAGATTTCTCTCTCGAAGCGGTTTTCCGAAACTTTCATGAAGTGTTCCCTGAATTCGTCAGGACTGAAGTGTTCTTCTTCAAAGATCCTCAGATCCTTGCATCCCAATTTTTTCAGGGTTTTGTTTATTTTTCTTGTGCCTCCTCTTTGTTCGGCTTCTTTGACTTCTTCCTCGAAGTTAAGCCACCAGTCGTGCTCCCATCTTTCCTTCTCCTTCTTATACTCTTTTCGTATGTTTTTTCTCGCCAATATTTTTTTCGTCCTTTCCACGAGTCCTTCGGCAGTTTCGATGGCTCTCGTAACCTGGATGATCCTCATTTGGAAGGACTTGATCTCCTCGTTGTGTGTATCCATCCACGGGTTCAGGTTTGTCTTTTCCACATGACCGCAAATGTTTTTTCCCGCCTCTCTCACTTTTTTGATTAGTTTTTTCCACGTCATCTCCGAACGACTCAAGGCCTCGCCAACCGATGTCCGGAACTGCTGTTTCGTGGCCGGGTCTCTCAGTTTGTCCCAGTTGATGTTTGTGCTTCTCTGCTGTCTCCTCTCGGGCTCCTTCCTCGGTTTCTGCAGCCAGCACTCCATCATCTTCGGTTTGTGGTCAGACAGTGTCCGGCTCGTCGTCTCTGTTCTCACGTTCTTCACCAACTGGCTACGTTGGTTTTGTCTTGTCATGAAACCGTCTATCTCGTGCCAGCTTTTCCTAGCTGGGCATTTCCAAGTTCCCCTCTTCTTGTGCCGGAAGAAAGAGTTTGTCCACGCCAGTTCGTGTTCATGACACCAATTTATCAAGTCGTTGCCCGCGACCTTGTCCTGTGTCCTCCTATTTGTGTCGCCTATGCTAGAGTTCCAGTCACCTCCGATGATCAGTTTTATGTGCTTGTCGCATCCGAGGATCTGTTCGTTCAGTTCTTCCCTGTACATCGCGAACTCCACAGGGTCGGCGTTCCACAGTGGCTGGTAGGCAGCGACAAACTTGACCCCATCCACATCCACTGACGTGCTTCTCTCACCATGTTTTCGTCTGTATCCTTGGTCCTTCCAATTTGTCGCCCAAACGTCTCTCAGAAAGATGCCGCTCTTCTTGCCGTGCACTAGGACCCCGTACAAGTCTCTCGACTTGATCCATTGGAGACCTTCCGTCTCTTCGTGAAGCTCCGTGAATAGGATGACCTCCACCTCTCTCTTTGTCGCCTCTTTCAGAATTTCGGCGAAGCGGTTTCTTCTCGGGAAAGTGACTCTCGCCCTTTGGATGTTCCACGTCCAAATGATGGTCGCTTTCCTCTTCCCCATCATCGTAGCTCTGTCCACCCACTTTTGGTTTCTTCATGTTTGTCTCTCTTCTCTTCATTTCCGTCTTTGTTCTTTCCTCGTCTCGCCTGCGGGGCCTGGATTTTGTTCGATGTCGTTGATCAGTCTCAGCCAGCTCAACACCCTGCTGTGTTGCCTGGAAAATTTAAGTATCGCCTTGACTGTCCGTCGGGATCGGCTACTTCCCTTCGGTTTGATATGGGGTATCGGTCCGAGGGTGTGGCCTAGGCCATCGTCAACCCCGGACCTCGCTCCCCCCCTGGACTGGGTTTTGATTTCTGCGCTCCTCCCGTCTTGCCGGGACCAGTCCTCGAGTAGCTTGTAATTTTTCCCTTTCCTTCGAAAAGATTCTTGTAGCGTTTCAGTGTTTCCGTAGCGAACACTTCTAATGTCCTATTCATCATCTTCCAGGTGCTAGCCCAAGTCATGGCCTCAGGTCCCATATTATTGCTTGTTGTGGAATTCACCGGGACATTTGTCGTAGTTGTGGTCCCACTCTGAAAAATTGTCTTGGCCCCCCTGTACCGATGCTCGCTGCGCCCCGGGGTAACGGTAATGGTGTTGATTCACGCTTGTTCCGTTGTGGTTCCACGAAATCAACTCTGTTACCTTGCGTTCGATGCGTTACCGGCCTGTCTTGTGATGTAGATTTTCTCAAGATGGCATCCAGTTTGGCCTGTATGGCACATGAACTCTCAGCCTGGTCCCTACTCATTGTGTCCATTCTCGTTTCCAGACGCCCTAACTGGCTGTTGACAGCGTCATACCGTTGCTTCATTGCTTGCATGCCTTTGTTGATATTTTCCTGGCGGTCTTTGTCAGTGGCCTCTACCTTGTCTTACATTTGCTGAAGCTTCTATTCCGTCGTCTTCGCCAGATTGAAATAGTTGTCCAGGTAATTGTGTTTGTTGTATCTTAATTCTTTCTTTACACTTCTCGATCCTCCTCGCTGCACTTTAGTCTTCTGTCGATCTGATCTAACTTCGCCATTAAATCGCCCAGCTCAAGAGGATTTGTTGTTTCATGGTCAGCTGTTGTCCCATGACTAGCTGTTGCCCCATGTTTGGCCTGATGGTCATCTCGGTTGGCCTATGTTGCTCTCTTGGAAACTGTTCCAAACGCGTTTTGCCTTTCTCGGCTTTTTGTTCTTCTTCCACTATGTCTCTCGGTTTCATTCCGACCATCATTGCTATCCTCTCTGTGAATGATGTTCTTTTCACTTGAGACTCGTCCTTTATTGTTTCTGGCGTGTTGCCCGTCGTGTCCTCCACAGTGTCTATCGGTAAGAATTCCGTCGACTTTTGCTTTTGTTCTTCTGCATTCGGCATCGGTGCCGACTCCGTTGTCTTCTTCTCCACTTCATCAACACTCTGATCTGGTGTCTCAAGATCAATTTCTATAGCAGGTTCCGTTCGTCCCTCTTCAGCGCTTCCTCCCGTCTTGTTTTCCTTTGCGCTTCTTGTGTTGACCATGCTCACTGAAAAGTTATTTCTTGTTACGTTTGGTCCGACGGCATCAATTTTCGTTGCGACGAGTTATGTTTAGTCTTTGACTCTAGAACTCTTTTTTCTGCTATTGGTACCCTACTTCGCCTCATGATTTTTATTTACAATTTTTTCTATCTACAATACTAATATTCACAAATTTCTATTATACGGATAAAACTTCTACAATTATTCCTAATCCCCTTAAGTAAAGTAAATCTCCAATTCGTGATCTTAATAAAATGGATCTTTCGCGACTTAATCGTTCGGACCGGTCCTTTTGCTTTTAATTGAGCGTTGAGTTATTTCGCACTGTCCCAAGACCTTCTAGTACCGTCACACAAATTTTTTGTACCGTCCCAAGACTTCCTGCTACTGTCCCAAGACTTACTTGTTTTGTCCCAAGACTCTCTGGTGCTGTCTCAAGACTCTTAGGTACTGTCCCAAGACTTCTCTTAACTGTCCCAAGACTGCAGTCCCAAGACTACTGTCCCAAGACCACTGTCCCAAAACCACTGTCCCAAGACTGCCTGTCCCAAAACTGCCTATCCCAAGACCACTGTCCCAAGACTGCCTGTCCCACGACTGCCTGTCCCAAGACCACTGTACCAAGACTACCAGTCCCACGACTACCTGTCCCAAGACTGCCTGTCCCAAGACTGCCTGTCCCAAGACTGCATGTCCCAAGACTGCCTGTCTCAAGTCTGGCTGTCCCAAGACTGCATGTCCCAAGAATGCCTGTCCCAAGAATGCCTGTCCCAAGACTGCCTGTCCCAAAACTGCCTGTCCCAAGACTGCCTGTCCCAAGACTGCCTGTCCCAAGACTGCCTGTCCCAAGACTGCCTGTCCCAAGACTGCCTGTCCCAAGACTGCCTGTCCCAAGACTGCCTGTCCCAAGACTGCCTGTCCCAAGACTGCCTGTCCCAAGACCAATGTCCCCAGACTGCCTGTCCCAAGACCACTTGTCCCAAGGCTGCCTGTCCCAAGACCCTTCCTCAAAACAGTGGGGTTCCGCTTATCCAATTTTACACTTATCTTCTATAATAAAATGTGGATTTTAACGATACCCATTTGACCAACTTGAGAACATCCCCGTCCTCTCTTGTTCCTCTGATTCCGTGCTGGTTGTTTCCTTGACTTGTCCTGTACCTGATCACCACCACCACTTTCCCACTTGGCTGGTCACCTGTTCCAGTCAAGTCTCCTAATGGTCCAGCTAAGTCTCTGTGAACCACTTTCCCACTCGACTGGTCACCTGTTCCAGTCAAGTCTCCTAATGGTCCAGCTAAGTTGCAAGCTATCTGAAA